CGACGATGGATCGCGTGGCCACGCGACGAGAGGAGAGACGACCATTACGGGGCTCATGCTCCTCTTTTACACATTTCCCATTATTTGCCACCTGTGATGGCTGAGGCCGCTTCCTGCGTGGAATTAAAGGCATCCTTTTTCCGGTCTTTGTTGCTGCGGGGACTCGGCATCTCTTTTGATGCCGCGTGGAGGACGGCACGCTGGTGGAGCTCACACGGCTCCCAATGGGACACAAGGCCGGCCCAGAAATTCTCCAGATTATTATTACTTCGGCAATTGCGGGGGTGACGACGGTGGTTCACCGCCTCTGAGCCGCACCTCCATTGTTGCGTATCGACGTATGGATCGATGATATACGCATTGCAGGGGTCGATAAGCGGTGTGACATTGTGGGAAGCCCAGGTGCTTTTTAGCGCGGATGGCCGTCACGCTACGATATGGGAGGATCGCGAATTGGAAGCCACGCAGTACACCTTCCTGGGGTGCGGTTTAATCACTCACACCGGGCGGTGTCCCTGAGTGACAAGTTTGTCCGGTGTGTATGCGCCATGCCGTCGCTGAAGTATTTAACCATCGCGGAAATGGAGGTTGTGGCGTCACGCTTTTTGTACGCGGCTGCCATTTTGGGCACGCGTTTATGTGCCTGCTACTTTTTCATCAAGGCAGTGCGACGACGATTATCGGCAGTTAACCGGGGGATTGTGCAGGAGACATCCCCGACAAACCTTCCACCAGCAGCGGTTGGTTTGGGCAAGAGATTGCGACACAGCATCGGGAATATAACAGTAAGCGAATCATCAAGCCCACGGAAAAGGCATAGGCCGCCATCATCACAAATGCATTGTTTTGTGGATGGGGAACCGTTATTATTCCATACTCCGGCGACGTTAAACTTGCCGGGGGAAATGGAAGAGGAAGCCTTTTCTTATCATGCAGGCGGAGGCATGCGCGGTACACTTGGCCTTATCGGCCTTTTTCCGCTATCTTGCCATCCACCATGGACGTTTGGGTGGACAACACTTCGCTGCGAGGAGCGGCGAATAAAGGCAGCTCGAAATCACACGCCATGACATGGGAGCTGCAACGGATATATGAGTTTGTTGACTCTCGCGGAATACATGCATCCGTTGCCTACGTGCGGTCTGCGGACAACCCCGCAGACGGCATATCACGCGGCTGTGTTTTTACACTTCAGCACTTGGCGAAGGGGTGGAAGTGGCGAAGGGGAGCGGCGGGGTCTTTTGGCTGGAGGACCCCAAAGTCTGCCACTTCGTAAGAAATTATATATGTATCCAATCCGAGTAGAGTGAGCGGGCCACAATTGTGGCTATAGGATGATGTATATATACATACATTTACTTGGTGTAAAGTTTGAGGATGTGGTGAACCCACTCTTATTCCATTTACTTCTCATTTCGGTCTTGTTTGTTTTCCGTGATTGATAACCTCAGGATGAGGAAAGCGGCCTGGGTGAATGTTTATTTTGTGCCACCGCGTGAAGCACTGCCATTCCATTGAAAGAGGGATGGCTGTGTAAATTTTGGTGCCGTGTGACTGGCGGATGGGTGAGGGTCCACTTCAACGTGTGGCTGGCGTGGTGGGTGCTCGCTCCGGGTGCGTTGTGTGTTGGCTGCGGGGATGTGGCCGTATCCCGTTGGCCGTGAGAATGTTCTGGAGGCGGTGGCGGTGTGTGCGTTTGTTGTGTGGAGGGCCGAATCCTCCCACCCGCGGACTGACAGCACTGCGGTGTTTGTGTGTTTCAGCGGCGTTGTGCGAGCATGTCCTCTTTTAGAGTGTGTGTGGTGACAGCGGTGCCACAGGGGTGTGGGACCGTGACCAGCGGAATGCGTGGGCGAACCCTCCGCGCCCACCACGTTGTTGTTGGCCCTCTCCAACACTGTGCTGGGTGGATGGTACCCGCTTGCCGTCGTTGCGGTGGTCTCCGTGCATGTGGTGTGCGTCACGCTGTGTGGATGTCTCTATTTTTGTGGCTGCTGGTCATATCCGTGCGTATCTCATTTCTTTCTTATTCCCCTTTTGATTGTTTGTTAGTGTTCAGTTTTAACTCGATCCAGCTAAGAAAACAAGGAGAAACAATGCCTTCAGAGCGCAATAGAGTGCAAGGTGGCAATGCCAAGGGCCGAGCGTCTGCTGTCCCACAGGAAGATTCTCAGAGGAGAGCGAGGTCGGACCTTGAGGGTGACACAGATCAGCCCGCTGCGACTCCCATAAGAGTGGAGGAAGCGCAACTACGGTGGACCATGTGCAGCTACGTAAGCGACATCCTGCTGGACGGAGAGACCGACATTTCCGATATGAAGCTGAATGATTTTCTTCGGGAGTATTTTGGCTCCAGGGCGGCCGTTGAAGAAGAACAGAATGTGGGAATGTGGGATTTTTTGAGGAGTCCCGATGCCTACATAAAAGACCAGCAGCTGCTTGAAGAAATTTCTAATTTAAAGGATTATCAGCTTTTAACAGATGGGCGCAAGCTTGAGGACGGGAATGTGATGTTTCTCGAAGACTGGATTGAATTTAAAGAGAAGGATACTGTCACTCCTCCTACAAGGAAAAAAATTACCGATGCCCTCACTCAGATACGGAAAGAAGTAGCAAGGTGGGAGGCAGAAGAAAGGGCGAAGCAGAGGGCAGAAGAATATGTGAGGCAGGATACTGAAGAAAAGACAACCAAGCTGGAGGGATTCTACGAGTCTGTGTACGGTGCGAAGTGGGGCCATGTCTTGGGGTTTTATGACAATAAGATTCGGGAGAACCGAATGGAGATACATGAGGGAAAACCACCGCAGTCATGGACGTACGAGAAGGAAGGTCTAACTTTCGAAAAGGATGACGGTGTGGAGCAATTCAGCCCGCCACTTCCCAGGCTGATGGTGCTCACCTCGGACAAGGGATGGCCGTACTCGTGGAGGGAGAATAAACCCATTGTTGACTGCTATGTGAACTGTGAGGTGGAGCGAGTGTGGCGGATTGTCAAGGACGATCTGAAAGACAGTTCCTCACCTGAGCAGCGTGTGTTGGTTGGAACGCCCGGGATCGGGAAGTCGATGAATGCCGGCTCTTACCTTCTCTACCAGCTGCTGCACTGCGATGCCAAGAAAATCAAAGTGGTAGTCCGCTGTTTTGGAGGGGGTGAGGCCTACGTCTTCGACAAAACCGCCAAGATGGTGACAAAATACGTGGGTAGTGAAGCATCCAAGAGTGTTGTGTCGAGTTTGTCGCAGCGTGGGATGAAAGGGTATATAATCTACGATGTGCCAACGAATGGGTCACAGCTGCCGATAAGTTTTACGCCCCCCACCGGATGGGGCACGACTGTGCTGGCATCCCCAAAGGTAAGGGACATTTATGAGTTTCTGAGTCAACGAGATTCCCGCCGAATCATCATGAATTGCCCCGACGAGATGGATTTGGAGGCGATGTGCGCATGGATGAAGCGCGATGGGACTCCACAGGAGCAACAAAAATACTGGTGGATGGTCCATCGTCAAATGCTTTTTTTGGGACCGATTCTGCGTTACATCTTTGATGCGAAAGACTTCAGTAAACGCTATGATGAACTTGATCGTGTCTTGAGATCGGTAAAATCCCGAGATGATGCAAAGCGCATTACATATGAAACAAGTACGGCATGGTTTACCGAGAATCCGTTTTACAAACTCATGCGTGTTAAACGAGAAAGAGAAAAAAAAGGTACCGAGGATTTTAAGACAGACTTATTATCTCGTCACCTCGCGGATCGAGTATTTTTCGTTACGGAAAAGATAATCCCCTTGAATGAGATTTTTGGTTTTTAGTGACGAGGAATAAGAATGCTCCTTTGCGTCTGTATTTGTGGAGAGATATGCTTTGGACGCATTCAGGAATGAGGCCTTTTTCATTAAAATAGCGGAGAAACTCAAGGAGCTGAGGCCGCCAGCACCCCGAAAGCCACTGAACACCGTGCTGAGGGTGACCCCGGAGGACATCCCACCGAGCCGTTTGGATTGTTTCCATTGCAACGCGGACCTAAGAAGATTGATGTAAGGGACCGGTGGCTAGAGAAATTTCCGCTGGTTGGGCTGCGGATAACTACGGCGTGTCGACATCACAGGAACGCCAGCACTGTGCGGCATTTCGCTGAGTATCCGGCGGCGTGTTTTGATGGGTGGGAGGAGTTATCCCGAGACATGTCGTGGGAGTTTATTTACGTGCAGCACGCAGGCATTATGCTGATGGGTGGCTGGCAGAGACGTGATGTCGTCAATTCCAATGTAGTGAGCGAGGAGGAGAACCAAGAAAGTCTGAGTTTCTGAAAAAAAAAAACGTACACCAGTACCAAGCGTCAGTGCCATCTGGAGTTTTCAGAAGAGGCGAGGCTTCTCCGAAGTGAGGAAAAAACAAAAAATGGGAAAACAAGACAAATTGGGGAATGAAGGGGATAGTTTGATATCTGGTGAAAAATATTGGGGTATTTTTATATAGTTGGATGCTTTTGTTTCCATGCGGTGCGGGTGCGCCAGCACCAGGTGGCATTGAGGCACACAAAGATGCCAAGAATGTCCAACGCTATCGAACACAACGGTGGCAGTGTGTGCGTTTTTTGTGTGGAGGGCCGAATCCTCCCACCCGCGGACTGACAGCACTGCGGTGTTTGTGTGTTTCAGCGGCGTTGTGCGAGCATGTCCTCTTTTAGAGTGTGTGTGGTGACAGCGGTGCCACAGGGGTGTGGGACCGTGACCAGCGGAATGCGTGGGCGAACCCTCCGCGCCCACCACGTTGTTGTTGTTGGCCCTCTCCAACACTGTGCTGGGTGGATGGTACCCGCTTGCCGTCGTTGCGGTGGTCTCCGTGCATGTGGTGTGCGTCACGCTGTGTGGATGTCTCTATTTTTGTGGCTGCTGGTCATATCCGTGCGTATCTCATTTCTTTCTTATTCCCCTTTTGATTGTTTGTTAGTGTTCAGTTTTAACTCGATCCAGCTAAGAAAACAAGGAGAAACAATGCCTTCAAAGCGCAATAGAGTGCAAGGTGGCAATGCCAAGGGCCGAGCGCCTGTTGTGCCACAGGGAGATTCTCGGAGGAGAGCGAGGTCGGACCTTGAGGGTGACACAGATCAGCCCGCTGCGACTCCCATAAGAGTGGAGGAAGCGCAACTACGGTGGACCATGTGCAGCTACGTGAGCGACATCCTGCTGGACGGAGAGACCGACATTTCCGATATGAAGCTGAATGATTTTCTTCGGGAGTATTTTGGCTCCAGGGCGGCCGTTGAAGAAGAACAGAATGTGGGAATGTGGGATTTTTTGAGGAGTCCCGATGCCTACATAAAAGACCAGCAGCTGCTTGAAGAAATTTCTAATTTAAAGGATTATCAGCTTTTAACAGATAGGGGCAAGCTTGAGGAAGGGGGTGTGCACTATCTTGAAGACTGGATTGAATTTAAAAAGAAGGATACTGTCACTCCTCCTACAAGGAAAAAAATTACCGATGCCCTCACTCAGATACGGAAAGAAGTAGCAAGGTGGAAGGCAGAAGAAAGGACGAAGCAGAGGGAAGAAGATGTGAGGCAGGATACTGAAGAAAAGACAACCAAGCTGGAGGGATTCTACGAGTCTGTGTACGGTGCGAGGTGGGGCCATGTCTTGGGGTTTTATGACAATAAGGTTTGTGAGAACCGAATGGAGATACATGAGGGAAAACCACCGCAGTCATGGACGTACGAGAAGGAAGGTCTAACTTTCGAAAAGGATGA